ACCTGTGCCGCACTGTGATCTGCAGGTACGTGAGGCCATCTTGCTGGATGAATATGTAATCTATTCGGGAATATCTGTCGTGCAGCGTGGAGTAGTACATATAGTCCCGATCGTCTGGGTTTAGTGCCCTCCACGTGTCCACCAGCGTTAGGTCCCTGAGGGCTTTGTGTACCATCCTAATCGCCGAGTGAGGTATACTGCTTCGTCCCGTGGAGGTGTCTATGAGGGGGTCTAGAGGGATGTTGAGGTCACCGTCGAATATGAGGATCCCTTCTGTGAACCGTGACAGCTTCGTCAGTGTTCACCTGAGGAAGCTAGCTTGTCCGGTGTTGGGCGTATATATCGTGGCGATCGTGTATGTTTTTCAAGCTATTTCTCCCTTAATGAAGAGGTACCTTCCCCCTTTGTCAATCATTTTGTCCGTAAGGATAAATTGCAGGTGTGTGGCTAGGAGAATCGCAATTCCTGCCTTGCGAGATGTCGGGTGGTTGCTATAGTAGTTTACGGGGTAGCTCTTGTTCTTGAGTAATATGTTTGATTCCATTCTGAGGTGAGTTTCCTGTAGGAGGGCAACGGAGACGTGTTGCCTTTTGAGGCTTCGTAGTAGGTGAGATCTCTTTTCCAGGGTGTTGAGGCCCCTGCAGTTTTGCGACCTGATCACTAGGGGTGCCGGGGTATACGCCATGTGTGGTCTCTTGGGGCCCGTGTAGGGAGCCGGCAGTCATGGTTGATCTTCAATCTGATGAGTCAAGTGTAGTTTGCTGTGGCTGGGTGGGCCCGGGCGCGGCCTAACGGGCAACCGCTTAGTCGGGTTAAGGGCGGGAAGGGCGTGGGAGAGGGAGGTTGGGGGGGCAGGACAAATGTGGTGTGGTAGGCGTCAGTAGTGTACCCTGGTGTGTGGTGCGTTGTCATCTCCTCTGAGAGTGTCAGTGATTAAGCGTTACCTCTGCTCTCAGCCTTGTGTAATTAAGGCGTGTTAAGGTGTTGGGTAATATGTAGTACCCCAGTATGGGATAACTCCTTGTAACTGGACGGGCAACCAGCGCTGTACCACCGGTTTACATTCCCGGCTGGGAGTCGGCAGTGGCTCCCCCAGTAGGTTAGTCTACATGGGTATTAGTTCAGGTAGTGGCCTTGGGCCTGATGGAGTGCGCTGCTACCGCAGTGTCCGGGTGAGTGATGTGTGGTTTAACCAAACGTGTCAGGAGAATCATCGTCCCCACTGTGATAGTCTCAAATTAAGTGCACTTCACTCTATTATATGATTGGCGAATGCATATCCCTGTCAATGGGTCAGTCAGCTGGTGTTCCCAGGGTGTCTGGTGGCCTTCTCGTCCCACGGTCAGCATTGAGGGGGGGTGTCAGCACCTGCAGGGTCTGTCATTCGTCATGGTTAAAGCTTTTCGCTGAGTGTATGGCGTAGCACCAGTGTGTGTCATAGTCGGTATGGAGGTGTCTCTAACTATGGTCTGGGGTGGTCGTGCGGGGGTCGCATAATGAGGCTTGGTGGTCTGGCTTGCGGTGTGGAGAATCTCGTGTCCCTTGAGTGTTTCCTTCCCAATTCTCTACCCTTAATCAGAGCTTCCTTTGTGTCTCTTCATGTTGCTCTAATGGGGTTGTCAGTCTACCATTTGGGGGTCTCATGAATAGCCTACTGTTCAACAGACTTTGGCATATTCACTAAATATTAACCTCTTATTTACACCCCGTACCCAGCATGTAGTACCCCTCCCTCCTCCCTACCCTCCCCCCTTCCCTCCCTCTATTCCTGTTTCTACACCCCGTGTCGTTTCCTGTTGCTGCAGCATCGGTGGCTCTAAGCATGTGTGACTTGTTGGGCCTGTGCCCCATGTGAAGAGTGCTGATTGGCACCCTTTTTATTTATTTATTTTTGGGGGGGCTATATGTTTTAAAAAGTATATATCCTTCCCCCCCTTCCAATTACCCCATCCCCTCCTCATGGCATAAAAAGCTGAGTCACATATTGGTGTATTCACTGGGCACATGTCTTTGGTTGTATGCTATAGTGTCCCAAGCTGTCCCTCGGTTTCCTCCTTCTCCCTCCCCCCCATATCCCCGTCGCCTCCTCTGGTCCTTGGTCCCAATCTTCTTGCCGTTCCTTCTGCCCCTGCATCCAAAGAAAGCATCACCAACACCGTTATAGCTGACACATATATGTTTTATGGCCTTCCCACCCTCCACCACCCGACCTGTGTCCCCATGTTTGTTCTTGGTATCCCTTAGACATCAGTCTATGCATAGAGTCCATGTTCATCGGTTCCAGTGATCGTTGCTCTCGTTCTCTCAGTCCAGATGGTTTGCCTGGGGTATTGCGGATGTTTCCCCACTCCTCCCACCGTTTCCCCCCCACCCCAACTTGTGATCTTGCTTGGGGGGTTCCCATAGGTGTGAGTCAGTAGCTGTGATCCTTTTCAAATTACTGTCCATATTGTCCCCTGCATTGCTGCCTATGAACGATGGGTCTTCAACTGTCAGTCCTGAGAAAATAGGCCCGGTGCTCGGTGCCTCCTTCCGTGGGTAGTCTGGTTAGGCAGTGTATAGTGGGGTGTATGTCACAGTCCACAGTCATGTCAGAGTCTAGGTGTTGTTTGTACTTATCTGAAAGTCCCGTGGATGTGATGTCCATCGGTAATCGTCTGCAGGTCTTCTGTCCTCCCCGCTGTGCTGTTTTTCTGTTGGGGTTACTGTCGCCGGTTATGGAGGGTGTTAGTCTGCTTGTCTGCGTGCTGGTCACCTGTGTGGCGAGTCTTCTCTGCACCGCCTTGGTGCTCTCTGAGCTGGTTGGTTAGGCCTCTGTTCCAGTGGGCCCAGGATCCAGTCAGTGACCTCCGTGTGTGGTAGGCCCATGCCTTGAAGGAAAGCCGGTACTTCATCAGGCCAATGTAGGGGTATCCACTTATTCTTATGTCTGGCGAGCAGGCAAAAGGGAAAGCCCCACTTATAGGGTATGCTGCGGCTTCGTAGCAGTTGAGTCACCGGCCTTAGCGCTCTGCGGGCCTCGAGTGTAAGGGGAGAGAGATCTTGGTATAAGGCTACCTCTGCTCCCTGGAACCTCCATGTTGGTTTCATTCTGGCTTTGTTCATGATCAGCTCCTTAACCTTATATTCATGGAGGCAGCAGATGATATCTCTGGGTGTGTTTTCTGTGGTGATGCGGCCTCAGGGCCCTGTGTGCTCGGTCAAAATCTATGCGCTGTGGTGAATCCAGGCCCAATATGTCCCTGAACAGGGCTGTTAACGTAGCTGTGACATCCTCTTCCCCTGCTGATTCTGGTAGGTTGCGGATTCTAATATTCAACCTGCGACCCCGGTTATCTAGGTCCTCGGTCTGTCTTCTCAATTATAGGAGCATATTGTCCTGCCTGGCCACCGCCGCATCAGTGGCATCTAGTATGCTTACTGATGTGAGGTGCGTGGCTTCTAGGTTCTGTATGCGTCCATCCTGTGCCGCTATGTCCCTCTGGATTGTAGCCACTTCCGACCTGATCGCCTCATATAGAGTGGCGGACAGCGTCTGCAGGTCCGATTTCGTGACCATGGCGCCTGTGAGGGCCCTGATGTTGGCCCGAATGTCCGCCAGCGAGGGTTCCTGTGTGTCGGGCGGCGGCGATGGGGCCTGGTCGTCGGCCATTTTGGGGCCTGATGTTGCACACGGCTGTCTGCGGCGATGGGGCCTGGTCATCGGCCATTTTGGGGCCTGATGTTGCACACGGCTGTCTGCCAAAGCTCTGGTGTCATATTAGTCATATTATCAATAGAATTGTCAACAATTTTTTTTTAATTATTATTATTTATTGTTACTGTGCCATAATGATTTACAAACAGGCCTGTAGTGCCACAATAGCAGTAACAGGCATAATAATGCAAACAGAAGCATAACAGGATTAAACTGCACACATGGTTTTTTTTTTGAGGATGCTGCTATTTATGCCAGTGGATGCTTAAATATGGTTAGTAGTTAGAAATTTAGCAAACTGGCATTCATGGTAGATTTTTGTAGGAAAAAGAAAAAGGAAAGAAATAAAAAATAAAAATGAGAAACAAGAGTGCACAATCTTTGCTTTTAAGTCAGGAGTACTGCCCACACAGATGCTTATGGAAGTAAACCGTAAATCAGTTAGAGAGATCATGGAGTCAGAGATAGTGCAGATGAGAGATGCACTGTGCCCACTTATTTCCCCTTTGAATCATGCAAGTAAGTGATTAGATTAATAGCAATAACTGACAGTTTAAATTATGCAGAGTATGTTGCGATTCTGTAGTGTTAAAGATTTCTAGTATTGGTATCTGTCAATGCATGTTGTGTTTAGTGCTCTGTGTCTCTGAGCTTAGGGGGGGGGAGGGGTTAGATGTCACTGCAGGGCAAAACATGCCTTACAGTGAGGGTAAGTTTAGAAGTCCCTGGCGCTGTGCTCGGGAATGTGTTGCTAATTTCTGGAAAAGTGAAGTTTCCTGGCTGAGGAGGGGCAGTGACTCTCTCTAGTTCACCCTTCCCATGGTGTGGCTGAATGCACGGCCCGCATTGTGAGAGGGGACGATGGCTGTGCGTGGCTTGTGCGAGCGGGTCTATCTGTGCCCCTGTGTTTGAACAGTGTGCTATTGTTACATAGGGTAGGTAAGCATATGGGGAATTTCCACTGTGACTTAGCTCACTGTCAGCAACTTCCCACAAGGTTATTAAGCAAGACAGTTAGCCTGCACTGCATACAATTAGCATTGGGAATATTGATAATAAAACGAGGGGATAAGAAGTTTAAAAATGAGTAACTAACATAAAATTACTGTATATACTCGAGTATAAGACGAGTTTTTCGGCACATTTTTTGTGCTGAAAAACCCCCACTCGTCTTATACTCGAGTCACTGTCTGTTTTATGGCAACTTACATTGCCATAATACAGACCAGGACCGCCGGGCTCACTACAAGCCCGGCGGTCCTGTTGGGGGCTGGCAGCGAGCTGTTAGTTACCTTTCCTGCAGCTCCTGTCAGCTCCCTTCTCCTGCGTTCTGGTCAGCTCCCCACTGTAAGTCTCGCAAGAGTCACGGCGTCTGAGCGTTGCCACGGGTTACCGTGGCAACGCTCTGCGCGGCACTCAGACCGCTAGACTTACAGTGGGGAGCTGACCGGAACACACTACACAAACACACACACTGCATGTAATTTTATTTAGAAATTTACCAGTAGCTGCTGCATTTACCACCCTAGTCTTATACTCGAGTCAATACGTTTTCCCAGTTTTTTGAGGTAAAATTAGGGGCCTCGACTTATATTCGAGTCGACTTATACTCGAGTATATACAGTAAAACTGTGGTACAACTTTTAGTGTAGTTCCCAAGTCAGTGTCCCATCTCTTCAGGTGCCGGTTGGGAGACCAAATATGCTCCGCGGTCTAGAGGAGGTCGCTGGGGTTGAGGGGAGACCTGGGCTTTCAGCAGGGGCTTGGATGGCTTAAAGGCCACAACTCTAGACATGTCCCAATTGTGTGGTACTGTCAGTGGAGAAGCCTCCGGTTCAGCTCTCAGCGGCAGTCCCAGAGTCAGCAGTGTAGAGTCCACCTCTGAGGTGTCTGTAACTCGTATTGTTTTCCCTTCGTGTGGAATCAGCAGGCTTCATGGGTAGGCCCTTCTGTATGGTTTAGCATGTTGACGGAGAGTGGTGGTCAGGGGTTTGAGGAGGCTCCTCCATATCAGCGTTGATCTGGGCAGATCCTGGAAGAAGGTTAAATGACCACTATAGTGCCAGGAAAACATACTCGTTTTCCTGGCACTATAGTGCCCTGAGGGTGCCCCCACCCTCAGGGACCCCCTCCCGCCGGGCTCTAGGGAGAGGAAGGGGCTAAAATCTTACCTTTCTCCAGCGCCGGGTGGGGAGCTCTCCTCCTCCTCCATGGTGACGTCATCAGCTGAATGCGCATGCGCGGCAGGACCCACGCGCACATTCAGCCAGTTCATAGGAAAGCATTTACAATGCTTTCCTATGGATGCTGACGACTTCTCACTGTGATTTTCACAGTGAGAAGCACGCAAGCGCCTCTAGCGGCTGTCAATGAGACTCTAGAGGCTCTAGAGGCTGGATTAACCCTATTATAAACATAGCAGTTTTCTCTGAAACTGCTATGTTTATTAAAAAAAGGGTTAACCCTAGCTGGACCTGGCACCCAGACCACTTCATTAAGCTGAAGTGGTCTGGGTGCCTATAGTGGTCCTTTAAGGCTGCAGATTCAAATGTGTAGGAAGGCAGTTCCCTTACTGCTGTCATGAGGGCGATCTGTGCCGATCTTGTTTGGAGCTGTAGGATTACATCTCTTGGAGAGCCGGCTGGTGCTCTTGCCACTTTAGGAATGCGGGATACACCATCCACCACTGTCTGTTTGGCCTGCTGATAGGTTAGTATGTTTGCCAGCAGTCTCCTGATGTAGTGTGGAAGCTCCACAGAGATTATGCTCTCTGGAATGCCCCTGATTTTTACGTTCCGGCACCTGTGCTTTTCCTCCATGTCGTCTAGGCGTTGTTCAAGTAGTTTTTGAGCTCTATGAAGTTCAGCTGTCGTGGCCTCCAATGTGGTGTTGCGTGCGAGGAGGTCTTGTGTTTCCTTCTCCACCATCTTCACACTGCCCTCTACTGAGTGAATCCCCTCACGCACTACCACGAGATCTGCGGCAAACAGCTGGCGAATTGTGCGTAGGAGAACTTTAATATCTCCTTTAGTTGAGGGCATTTCATTGTCCTCATCAGAAGATGTGTGGTGTAATCCCCCTATTATTATTATTATTATTTTATTATTTATATAGCGCCAACAAATTCCGTAGCGCTGTACAATGGGTGGACTAACAGACACATAATTGAGATCAGACCACTGACGTACAGGAACAGAGGGGGTTGAGGGCCCTGCTCGATGAGCTTACATGCTAGAGGGAGTGGGGTATAGTGACACAAAGGGTTAAAGTAGGGGAATTAAATAGTTTGTTACAGAAGGGTTTATTGAGTGCTTGGTAGGTCATTTTTGACAGGTGAAGGAACGGAGTCATGGGGTGGGGGATGAGAAACCTGCTGACAGTTTAATTGATACGCTTTAATAAAGAAGTGAGTTTTCAAAGATTTTTTGAAGGAATGGAGGCTGGGTGAAAGTCTGATTGAGGAGGGAAGGGAGTTCCACAGAATAGGTGCAGCCCTGGAGAAGTCTTGAAGGCGAGAATCAGAGGTGGGGATCCGGGCAGAGGATAGGAGTAGATCTTGGGCTGAGCGCAGGGGTCTCGTCGGGACATACTTGTGTATGAGGGAAGATAGGTATGTTGGAGCAGCATTATGTAGGGATTTGTAAGCAAGCGCCAGAATTTTGAATTGGGCCCTATATCTAACTGGAAGCCAATGCAGGGACTGACAGAGCGTGGAGGCGTGGGAGGTGCGACCGGACAGGAAAATAAGCCTCGCAGCCGTATTCATTATAGATTGCAGCGGTGCAAGCTGGGAACATGTAAGACCGGTGAGAAGGGGATTGCAATAGTCAAGGCGAGAGAGAACAACAGCATGAACCAGTACCTTAGCCGCGTCCGGCGTTAGATATGGGCGGATGCGCGCTATGTTCTTGAGTTGGAAGCGACAGGATTTGGCTATCGATTGAACATGGGGAGTAAAAGAGAGATCAGAATCAAAAAGAACTCCTAGGCAGTGAGCCTGGGAGGTAGAGGTGATAGTAGCGCCGTTGACTTGGATGGCGACAGACATCCCCTATGGCAGGGATTTCATCCAGCGTGTCCAGGGCCTGTTCCTCGGAGTGTGCCGATGATGAGTCACCATTTTCTTTTGGCGGCAATGCCTCTGGGAGCCTTTCCGGGTGCAGCAAAAGGTCCCCTATATCCTGGGTGCCCGAGAGTGTGACAGGTCCCTGTCATCTGGACTTTTTCCCCATGCTTGTGGTTGTCTTTTCTCACCTTTGGGAGTAAAGGTAATGCGTTTAAGTATGCTATATTAGTCTTTTTGTCTCGGAGCTCCTCTGCCACGCGTATGCTCCGTTCAGCTCGAATTGTCAACAATTTTAATTAATGTATGTATCAAATTCCAATAAGGTCTAATTTTAGGGCACGACCACAGCATTTGACACAAACATCCTCTTTCTCCACACCACCTCCAGCATGTATTTGTATGTGATGAATTCAATTTGTGTAATCTGGAGGGAGTAAGGTACCAACGGTACAACATTTTATAATGGGATTCTAAATGCAGTTAGAAAGTTAATCCATTCTGTGATGTTAAATGTTTTACCCAGTTCTTCCTCCCGTTTTATCATCAAATTTTTTATTTAGTTCCCCGGCCAAATGAGTGTAGCATATAGAAATGGCTCTATTCCACCCAAACCACATCGACTCCTACCCCCCCCCAACCGCACCCTCGATCACCCATGCACTCGACACATGGGACAAAATGAGGGACAAATTCAAACTTTCGTCGTTCCTATCCCCCTTGACCCCCATTTGGAGGAACAAACTCTTCCCACCGGGACTCACTCCCAAACATTTCGCCCAATTCGAAAACAGGGACATTTCCCGACTAGGGCACTTATACCAAAACAACGACATCATACAATTCACAGATATCCAAGACTCATCCTCACTCATGACATTCGACTACTTTC